GCTATTTTTCGGATTTCAAGTGATCGTTCATACGATGAAAGTGCTTTCGAGTACTCGCCCATATTATCATACACCGCACCGATGTTGTTGTAGGAAGAAGCCAAACAGAGATCATTTGGAGAGAGAATTTTCTTGTAGATATCCAGTGATTTTTCGTAATATAAAAGTGCTTTCGAGTACTCTCCCATGTCATCATACACCCAGCCAAGTTGATGATTGTAATCTGCTCTATCTTTATCAGAAGGCGCCTTTTCAATGAGGATCTGATAGAGTTGTTCTGCTTTTGCAGGTTCGCCCACTTTAATAAGTATGAAACCAAATCGAGCCCATCCTGTGCACCCACCAAGTTCCTCACGTATATGTGCTGTAAGTGTGTTCAATTCATGATTGTCATTACCGACAATAGTGAGATTAACTTCGTATAGCCGATCGCAGTGATTATCGTGAATTCGTTCAATGCGATCGATACGAAAAATCGCATGTGTTGAAAATAGTATTTCTTCCTCTTTATCTTTGTAGTAGCCAACTTTGCTTACTTCAGCAAATGTTGTTGATGATTTTGTACAAATAGCCGTGTCAATGTTCATAATGAAGAGAATACCAACTGAATTTGTATTTAATGCTGCTGGTCGTGCAAAATTGTTGAAAGATATCTCGCGATTGCGACTTGTCGACAGAAAATTATTGAAGGACATAAGTCCTCCTTTGGTTTTTTTCATTTTTTCAAAATCTTCCATGGACAAACCCTGTCCACGGAAGGCTTGAAAATTTGTTGGCATGCTGCCTTTTTGTTCGCCATGTAATTCGGTAATATGCTGATGTAAATGACGGATGAAAAATCCCATTTTAAGGATGATGTCAACATCCATTTGTCGGAGTCCACGATTGAGCATGGGATATATAAATGTTTCAGCCGTATACCACCATATTGGTGTATGATCACGATATTCATTTTCGACCTTCCTAATTTGACCTTCATCAATATCATCTTGCAGACGACAGTATTCGACGAGATCTTTAATCGATTTGACATCGTCATCTTCAATTTCCAAAAGCGCTTCTTTTAAAAGTTGTGTATACATGAATAATGCATCACGACCATTAAAGCTGATCGAGATCATTGCTCGATCACAATTTTCGCGATCGATTTGCAAGGCCTTACAGATCGGTTTGATTTTTGTGTATACACCTTTAACCTTTGGTACTTTATTGGCCCATTGTTCATGGACCGCTTGGTTGCGACAGAATACATAGACTGACTCCAGTTGTGGCCATGCTTCAATATCTGCTATTATTTGCCGTCCCAGTGAACCAGATATGATCATAAATACCTTTTGATTTGTAACGGCACTGAGAAAATCAATGCATTCTTGAGCATCTTTAAATGTTTCGATGCTTGCTACAACACGTCGCAGGCGTCGAAACGATTTCTTGAAATCGTCATTGGACTCATCCAATTTGGCATCAAGCCATAGAAGCCGGAAATTTTGAAGCTCTCGACGCCTAGGTCGAGGCAGCACAGCAGCAGCACGATTGTTCGCGTTGGTAATAGTGGTGGTGCTAGGCATCGCTGCTGCACCACTGGTAACAGTTGTTGTCGATTTTTGTTTGCTCATTGTAATTGAACGAATGAATATAATCAGTGAAACGAAGTCCCCTATATTTATAATTGTTAAATTTTTTGTTGGTTAACATCATTCCTTTTCTGACTTGTGGCTACAGACTTCAAGAACCTCTACTATCTGGTTCATTTTTGTTTCAAGAGTGTTACTGACAAAATACATCGAACCATAAATAAAGAAGAATGGCTAAGGAAACAAATAGTCGCTGAGGACGGACGACATGACTAGTCCGAAATATCGAAAATACCTGTCTTAACTAGTTATCCTGACATGAAAACTCCTGCAGCTACGTCTGAACTAGTCCAGAATGTCCTCAAGCTTCGACATGTCTAACCCGTTTCTCTATCTAATCAATCCCGATTAGTCGGTAGACCAGAAAAAGAGTATTTCTAAAAGTAAAAATTGTGCCTTTCATTACTGGTACTCGCGTTGAAATTTATGCATAGAAACAGTTACTCTGTTTAACATGTTTTACAATAAGATTGTTTTATACATACAAGATTCTGCAACCAAGACAATCGATTGCATGTTCTGAGTACTATCAAGCGAAGTTCTCTTAAAACTACTTTATAAACATAAAAATAACACATGTTTATGTACCGTCATTTTTTTTGTGTGTAGCTACTCTTTACTTTTCACTCTAATTTTCTTACTAGTCTAATAATAATAATGTTAGAAACTAAATACACTTACGTGCTATGTAATGTTGGAGTATAGCAAATTTTGTTTTGTGTGCTTGCAATCGATTTTATTCTGTATTTATCATTGACAAAATTACTTGGTTTTTTCCCACAAACGTATATTTACATGAATCAATGAAGCATGACTTTTTCTTCATGTAAACGACTTTTTCGACCATGTGTTCGTCATAAAATACGTTTCGTTTTTCATATATTCTACTTCTTCCTTTTTTACCTTACCTTTGCGTTTCGTGTTGTTGCAATGATAAAAAATACACTGATGCTTGTATAAGCGTAAATTTGAGTAATGATGATTCATTAGACTTTGAACTTTATTCTAATCTCTATATAAATATTTTCTATCGTAAAATTTTTTTTTGAAATTGATAATTATAGAAGTAGTGTTGAAAGCTTCAAAATAAATAAATGAAAAATTTTATATTTTTTATTTTATCGTTCGATGTATGAAAAACTCTATTTATCACTCAAACTTCGTTAGATGCATCCGAAGAAAGTATGGCTAATGTGCTTTAAGAAGACTCAGGCATTTTGAGAAGTGGGTGTGAGTGTTTGTATTGCTTATCCCTACACATCCCGATCCTCAATTATTTGGTTTAAATATCTAAGAACTTCAATCATAATCAAGCAATAATCAACAATCAGTAAATAGAAGTAAAAAATATTGATACAAATGAATAACCTCTTTCAATCAGTATTCAACAAATAATGAAAGATTTTAGTTTCAATGTAAATCTTTTTTTAATGTGTTGATATGGTATGTTATATTTGTTTACAACATAATGATCATAATGTTGTATCAAGTTCATTGGAAACACATGAAATTATACTTAAATATTCAAATTTATTTGATTTTGATCAATTATTAATTTCAACCCAAATTGGATCTATAGAAGAAATGCGTGTTAGTGAAGTCTTAAAAATAGGTAAATATTGAGAAAAAAAACAAGAATTTTTTTTTTCATTTGTTTTTTTTCTTCTAAAACAATAACTTATTCAACATATCAACATTGATTTATTGAAATGAATGATGAATTCGATTCAACATCAATGATTAATAATGAAAAATGAATATCAGCTGCTAAACTTGTTAATCAATTATATTTTTTTTCCGATTAGATATATACTTAATATGGATGGTACGATAAAAAGTGATGATGAATCATGTATTAATGTTAAATGTGCTATACCAATATGTCTATCGTATTTATAAACAATTTGATCCATTTGTTTATCTTACTAAAAGTATGTTTAATTCTTGTTTGACTTTTTTTTATAATCCAAAATTATTTCTAATGTTGTAACAGTAGAAGGGCTTAGGCGAAGGGGATTGTGACAGAGTTTAGTTGACGTGGCTTCAATTGGTTAAGGTCTCAAAGTTTTAGTGAAAGTTATCTGATAGATATGACAATTTCACTATTAGATTGTTGAAACATATATATATATATATTGGAATCTGAAAATTCAAGAACGGAGATTTCTGAATATTGATTCAGCAGCTCTAGTCCTATTTTTAATTTTTTTGAAATCAACAAAAGACTAGAACATTATCAGACTCGAAACGATATCAAGTAGAACACTTTATTGAAGCTCAAAGCCTGCATTTATACATCAGAGATTGAAATTATACAATCACACAATTACTTCAAAAAATAGTTCTAAGCCGAAGTTCGAGATATGAAATCAATTGTATCCTCTAAGAAGTTTTTCATTAGTCTTTGAAGATTTCTGATTAAATAAAAATTTTGTAACTGATATGAAATTTCCTAATGAGAAAAATGAAATTCTCATCTCTATATGACTTGAAATACATTAAAATTTATGGAACATCAAGGTATCTTTTTTTTTCCTTTCTTTAAGATATTACATATCTTTTATCTTTATGTGAACATGGTGATCTACATTTACGTGGTGCATGTGCAAGTTTACTTGCTACATTAATTCAAACAACAACTCATCTTTTATTAAACAATGTTCACTTGTATCAACTGATTCACAAGACAGTTCAAGGTTATATGTCTTAATGATAATAATGCACGTGTTATACATGTTTCACTAAATGCTTTACGAACATTATTACCTTTTTTATTAATTAATAGCCATGCATTTACAATCATAGGAATTAAATTATTAGAAGATTCTATTCAACATACTAGAAGTTCCTGTATTCTTGCTAAAGTAGATAAAAGAAATTTATGATTATAATAATTTTTTTTTTATGTATATAAAATAGGTTAGTCTAGCTCAATTTATAGATGATATTGTTTTTCGAATATTAACTTATCTTGAACACCAACAATTAAAACAACAGTACCCTGATATATGTGTTCGTCAGGCAACTGCTTCGACTTTTGCTAAGTATGCATTTTGTAGAGATATTAACTAGGTAGCTTTTTTTCGAATTTGAATGAATAAGTCGATTTTATTGCATTAAGTTAGTTATTAGCTACTTTTTGATTTTAAGGTTTGTTGATCACAATTCATTTTTACCATGTCAATGGTTATATAAAATTCATCATTCATTACAAGCTCAAGCATCAACTCGAATACAAATTGTTTGTTATTTTGTCTTTTATATAGGTTGGATGTTTGGAAGATATTTATGTTCTTTCAAATGTTTTAAGACCAACAACAATTCGACCAATTTTTTCATAATCAATGTGATGAACTTCGTTTATTTATAAATTTTTTTAAACATCCCTTTATATTACATGATCTTAATAGTTTAATCTTTTCAAATAAAGAAAAAAAAAGATATTTATTATGTTTTTTTTGAATTCTTTCTTTTTATTTGAAGATTTATCAAATCTCAACAAATGAAAAAATGTTTTGAAAGTAGCATAAATGATTCAAGTAATTCGAAAAATTGAACTATTTTATCATCATTCTTTTGGACAGAATATAGTTGATATTTCAGTTTTCACAGAAGAAAAGAGTTCCAAAGTTTTAGATTTGAAAAATGTATTTGATCATGTCTTATCTAAAGGAATTCATTTGTTTTTTCTTTTTAAATAGAATGAAAAAGATTCATCAACAACATCAAATACAGACAAAGTTAAAAAAGTTAATCATACACAATTAGGTACTTTTGGAAATTATCCGAATCAATACGTTCATCTTATCAAATACATAAAAGTTTATTAAACTCATCAGAAATGATCATTATTGTCTATGAAATCAGTTTTAAGTCTTATTTCTACACAAGATTTATCAAAAAAATTTGGAAGAGAAACACTTAATTATTTTAAATCAACATTCAATGTACGCAAAAGGTAACTTCTTTTAAATAGTAAATATTTATTGTAAAGAAAATTTCAATTATTAATCTTCTTTATTTATTGTTTAAGCTAAAACCTTTAGGATGTTGTATTGTGTCTGAAACTTGTCTATGGATAAAACTTTAGATGGAAATCTTATAATTAAGGTTTCTGAAAGGGTCTTTCCTAGGTAAGGAAAATTTCAATATAGATAACAGAAAAACTGATTTTACGAATATCGATGATCTTGACGAGAGTAGTTTTGTTGTGAAAGTGTCAGATCTTTTGATTCGGTTCTATCTCGAAATTCGAATATTAAACCATCTAGTTTACGTGAGGGATCTGCAAGACACACTATCAATTCGAAATTTGAAAATCATTTTTTCTGTTAACACAACATTCATTTAAAAATATTCTTTTAATTTAGTTTTTATTAAATCTTCAAATGTTTCTTCACAAGTATCATTAAATAATTCTTTAACTTATATTCATACAATAAGTATTCGACAATCGATAATTTATTTTATTTGGTTCACGTTATGCATCAAGCATAAATAGTGATCAATCCATAGAAAATAGTGCAATACGAGAGTAAAATAAACAAAAAAAACGAATTTGATTTATTCTGTCTGTTTTTTGTTTTTTGTTTTCTATTTTAGTTTTAATTGAACTAAAAAATTAGTCTTAGAAAATATATTAATAGAAATGAAAGTGATTTTCAAGCTGCTGTACTCGATTTACTTGTTCAATTACTTTTAATTCGTGTTAATTATAGTTAATTAGAAGCTGATGAAATTCGTTGCATTTCTAATCGTTTCGTTTATTTTTGAATGGCATTTTATTTATTGTATTGCTGAATTTCTTGTTATGTTATCACATGATACACTTCATTCAAAACAAGTTATTAAAATACAAGATTTAATAAAACATTATGATTCATTATTCGCAAGTGGACATGAACCTGAAACACATGGTAGGAAGCAAAAAAAAACATTTTCGAGAAAAAGAAATTATCGTTAAAATTCTTTATTTAACTTTGGCAGCATTAGAACCAGTTTTATATGATTTTTTTCTTGTTCGAGTTATGCGAATAATTAAAATTCCTAAAAAGTTTTATTAAATAAGAGTGTGAGTGTTTAGATGTAATTTTTCTCCTCGATTGAACCCACACTCACACTTTAACAAATCGATGATCTGAAAATAATCATCTTGTTGATGTCCAGAACTCAACAAGATTTAGAGACAGAAATCTTCAGTTATGTATTTAAGTTTGAAGGAAAACTAGGCGTCTTAATTATTATAAATAAAAGTATCTTTTCATGTCATGTGTATGTACTGAAAAAATAATAATAGAATTTATATTGTTATAGGCTTTACGATTGTTCACAGTTATTGTTAATAGTGTTCAAATTGAAGATGATAAATGGGAACGTCTTTCACGACAAATTGTCGATTTACTTCTTGCTCATTTACAATCTGAAGTTATTTTTTTGTTCAAATAGGATCAATCACTTTTGGATATTTATTCCACACAATTAACACTATTTGATGTTGTCTCATCAGCTGCATTACGATCAATTGATCCATTTGTTATTGCTTTTCGAGCATTAGTAAATAGAAATATCCGTTGTTTTTATTTATAAAATTTTTTAGAATGTCAATTGTCAATCTACAAATCGATAGTTAATCAATATAAATATAATACTTCGATATCTTGTACAAAATTTAACTGAAGATGCTATATTAACACGATAGAATGATGTTTTATTATCAGTTAATGGAACACGAGATGAAACTTTTAGTGCGTAAGTATTCGAAATGATTTTATTTATAATTTAAAAACTATTATTCTCGTTTTTGTTTTCAGAGCTCTTCTTCGTGTTTTACATGACATAATATTATGAATTTTAACTAATACTCGACAATTACGTGGTCAAATCAATATGACATTAGTTTCTCTTGCATCCGATTATCTTTATGTACATATCACCCATTAATTTGAAGATAAAACTTTCCTGCAATTCATTAATTACTAATGACCTAGCGAAAAACATTTGACGTTAAAATTCCTATACTTATATAAGATCTATAATTTTATTTTAGTTAAACAATTTCGAACAATTGTAAATGATTTTCATCAATTATGAATTCATGATGAAACTGTACATCATCTTAATACATTTTCATATTTAACTATTTTAAATGAATGTTTTAAATTATAATGATCATCATTTTATATCTTATTATTATTACAATGGGCACATATTCTGAATATACTTGATTATATACAAGAAGCATGGTGGTCACCAATATTAACACCATCATCATTAATAACACATTTATCGATAAGTAGTCAATTACAATCTTATTGTGATTTAATATATCATCATGAATTATATGTTGAACATTTTATATCAATAACAACACATTATCAATTATTATTATTATTTTTTATTTGATCTTATACATCATACAACAGTTGCAAGTCATTTATTCGTTTGTGAAGGAATACATTTATATGAAAGTGGTCTTATATTAGTTTTATTAATTGAACAATTTCTTCCATTACCATTATATAAACAACTATTACCTAAATATTTACCATAAATTTTACAAATATTATCAATAACAATATCAATCGATATTATTAAAGAAGATTTTAATAATCTTAATTGTCCTATGGATATAACAAGAAAAATTTATGCACAAATGCTTAAAAATATAACTTATAAAAAATGATTACCATTTATCATGTCACCGGTATATTTTAGTTTAATTTATCGAAATAAATAAATATATATGTATAATAAAAATTTTAATCCAATTAAAAGAAATTTTTGTTTTTACTTTGACATTGTTTATGTGCTGGAAATAGATGAGACTTTTGAATAATTCAAAATTTCGAAAAATATTTTAAAATAGAAAATATGCAGAATTTCAGGTAATACAAATCGTAAAGGAAAGCATTTAAGCTACATTAGTACAATAATCGAATAATTCCTCTCGAATCTTATTGATCAAGTTCTCAGTCGTGCTATTTGTACTATTACAATTAAAGAAAACGACGTCTTTCTAATATTATATTTCAAAATAAATTGCATTCGAGAATTTCGATAAACTCTCTATAAGTTTGAACTCGTGAACTCCGAAAACGTATTGAATTTTTTCCACAGCATTAAATTTTTAGGATGATTCTTATAGTAAATGAAAATTGATTTGAGAAAATAAGAAACAATATAAATCTGTTCTTTGTTTGTTTTCCTAGGATTTTGTATAGTTATATCAAATGAAACAAATTAAAATGACATTGAAATAACACATAATACAATTTATGAAAAAAAGTCTTTTATCATGCTTCTAATAATCAATCATATTCAATTGCATTCATAGATTCTCTATCAATATATTTTGATACAATACAAAATTATGTTGAATTAACATGTCAATTTTCAACAGGTGATATACAAGATTGATTACGTTTTATAATATTTATATCAGAAATAATTTATATAAATATATTTAAAAAAAAAAGCATCATTTCTTAGTTATGAAATAGATCAAATAATATCATGTTGTACGTTACCGAAAATACTATTATCAATATTTGAATATATTTATCAACGACATGGTTTAACTATATCAAATATATTATAATCATATATTAATTTAATTGAACCAGATAAAAGATCTTGTATTCAATTATTACTTTTATTATTTAATGATCTTGATCATCTTTATTATTTAACAAGAAAAATTAAATATGTATATACATATCATATATTTATTGACATGATTTATATTGTATCAAAGAGAAAATCTAGTGTTTCTCTGACTTTGATTTGATATATAATACATGCAAACTATCTTATTTCATAGAGATAAAAGTTTATATCAATAATTTCAAATAAATTCTATCAATCAAAAAATTAGAGTATGAACATTTTCTTTGCTGGCATCCATCTTTAAAAATATATAATTTAGAGTTTATTTGATCGATTATTTTTTCATCATGGTTTTGATTTAACATTATCATTACAAATTCTAATTGAAATATATATAATATGAATTAATAGGTTCATTTATATATCTATCTGATTTATTTCCATCATCACAACATTTATCAAATTTATATGATGAATATTTTTGTACATGGTTTGATGAAGATGGTGTAATAATATCCTTAATAAGTTATAATTTATGTAAATCTAGTATATTACTTGAACAAAGAACAAAAGAATATAATGAATTATATATACATTTAATTGAACGTAATTATAAATTAATAACTAAAACTCATGCATATGCATCATGTTTATTCGTGAAGTTGATTTAAATTCATATGATATTTGATTATCATTAATTAAAGATGATAATTTAACACAAAAAGGTATATCAATTAGTCTTGAAAAACTTTTAATAGTTGGTCAATATCCCAAAAATGATATATGGTGTTAATACTTTCACGTATTTATACATTATTACAACAACCAAATAAAAATACAAATTCATTAAATAATGAACATGTTAATAAAGAACAAACAATAATTGATAGTTCATCAATAATATCATCATCAGATAATATTCTCATTGAACTTGTTGAAGAATTATATGCACATACAAAACAATCATCAACATTAGCATATGAAGCATTACTTTTATTACGTCCTTTATCATTATTACTTGAACATATTAGTTTTTTTTCGTGCTTTAATTAATGCCCGTTATTCAGCTAAAGTTAATGAATGGACTTTATTATCAATGACAAATACCGCACAAAGAAAAATCACTATGTATGGTTATATGGGAGTTAACTTGTCTTATGTTAAGTGCATGTCTATCACAACGTGTGGGTGTGGATGAAGACAAGACCTATAATGATATCCACACCCACACCATCTTATGAGTAAAATTCTGCCTATGGTTAAATATTCTTCCTAGTTTTCTTTTTAAAAATTATCAAGAGTTACACATACAATTAAAATTTATTTGGAAAAGATAAATAGTAAAACATTAATGAAAAACAAAAACTCTTTATTTCAATCCGAAGGAATGACGATCAATACAAAATCATATAAATTTCGTCATGAAATGTCAAAATGAATTTTCATTGATAATATAGTATATATTTTATTTTTTTAGGTTTTTATTGATGTTATCACGTTTCAGTGTTCGTTTCGAAGAATCAGGCAATCGTTTATTTCTTATTGCTGATCGAAAATAGTCTCTGCAAATATCAATTATATCAACAAAAAAGCAAAATCTATTTTATTTATTTTAGTTAACGAATATTGAACATTGACGTTAATTTGAACAAGCATTCATAAATGAATCGAATCTAGAAAAATTATATGCTGATTTACTTGAACACATTCAAAATACGGTGTGGATGCAGATGTTGTTTGGATATGTTGATGAACCATATACTCTCTCTCCCTCTGTCATCCATGCCCGCATCCTCAATAAAGACTAAAAATATCAATTCATAAAATGGAAACATAGCAACAAAAATTAATTTATCTACTTTTTTTCTTTTTACTAGAATTGGTCTCTACTATAACAATCATATCTAAATTTTCTAAACCAATCAGAATAGATTGTCATTTATTTTGTGCTCTAATTTCTGTTTGGCTTATTGATTTATATTTCATATCGTATGTTTTATTATGATTTCAATCATTGATTTAACTAGTAAATAAGTCGATTACATGTATCCATTAAACATATTTTAGCCATTGAAGTTTTAACGAAAACTTTTTCTAAACCATGTCGTTAGAGTTTAAGAAAGAGTTGCACAAATCTGGATTAAAACTTGCATTTATAACCAGTACTTTTAATAATATCAAGAAGAATGTGAGTATAGATGTTGATATTCTGTTTAACCACATCTACAATCTTTGAATCGTTTTGATTTAGTAGATTAGTTGTAAAAAGCAGCTACCATACTTCATCCTATTGAACTGTTTTCTGAAAATTCATTGAAAATGATAAATTCAAAAAGTCTTGCACTACACCATTGTTTCTTATTATTCAAATAATAATTCTTTTTTCTTGATTTATTATTCGTACTTTTTATTATTTTATTATCAATACAAAAAAAATTTCATAATAAAGAAAAAAAATTGAATATTTTAATGTAAAAAGCAATTCATCATTGACAGTATTTAACGATAACTATCAGAAAAGGAATCAAACCAACTTCCACAGGTTCGAGTTCAGTTCGATACCTAACAAGCGCGGAATTATCCTGTAAAATTATTTTAGATTGTAAATTTCTGAGAATTTTTTTAATGAAAAGCATAAGTTAAAACTCAACAATACAATCATCGAAATGCATGACTTCAGAAAAAATAAATCATAAATAACGAAAATCCAATCATCACTAAAGAATATCCTTTAAGAAAATGATAGCACCATGTTCCTGTTACATTCTAAAGATACTAAAAGGCTTGTAAAGACATTCTAGAATACTTCAAACATATTTAGATTTTATTTTAAATTTATTTAACTTTTTTAAAATTTATTTCTGGATTTTTGGTAAATATTTATAAATGTAAATTTATCGCTTTGCAAAATATTCCATCGAACATCGTTGATAATCACATATAACATCACAACTTTACAAAAATGATTATATCTTAGCTAATCATTTTTTTTTCATATGCCTATCTATATTCATTCATTTTTTCAAAATTACTAATATCTGTTTATGGAAGAAGTCGTTGTTTCAATCAATAGTATGATGTTGATTCCTATTCTATTTTCATTACTGAGAATAGGAGAGACGATTAGCTTCAAAACTTTTTTCTCATAATCTACTTTCGTGATTAAAATTTTGTGTTCTAACTTATTTAACTTTGTTTCAAATATTTTTTTTGTTGTTGACACACTAAACTTTGCATAATGTGACGATACAAAATAAAAAATTTTTTTCTCATAAAATTTAATTTAAACAGAAATATATGCAATACGGTGTGAGTTTTCGGTTCATCTACAAAGCCATACATTCTATTGTCTAGGAATTCGTTGTATTCTTCACTATTTTCTTCCGGAGAAGTGTTTCTTTTTTTTTTTTTGATTTTGGGACAATTATCAATTTAATTTGCGTTTTGTTTTAACAAGCAAGTCGTTGCAAATCTTCTAGATTAAGAAAATCTTTTCCCACAGTTACAGCTTATTGTCTGTCTCTTCTGAATAGATCAATCAATCTCATCCACATTTTTCTAGCCAATAATTGTCATTGATATCTACTTTTAAGAACCATCAGGATCATAAACTCGATCATTCGATTTTATTGTAATATAAGATTACCTGATTTTCTCCAATATGTCATTTCTTGAACTCTTGCAAAGACATTCTTTCTCAGAAATTGGCCATCGACGAAATTCAGAAACTCTGAGAGATATTTTTTTTTTATTAGCGCTATGTCGAAGATCAATTATCCAGAGGATAAGAGGAAACTAGACCCTTAGTCTCGGTTTCAAAACAGATGTAACAAGCTAAGTATAGAGTAGTTAGTTTTGTGCAATAGTGGATGCTGATAAAAAGGCAGATAAATGATCCAAGTAACACTTATGAAGATGTGCATGATTGTTCCAGTTAATCCAATTACGAATGTAACTATTAGGTCTACCACGAGGTAGAGCGTCAATAAATTGAGTTTCTTCGAAGTGCATTTGTAGATACATCGGCATCGCCTTTGAGAGAATATAAAATTCGAAAAGTTCAGGTGATATTGTTTGTGCTTTATCAATGAAGTGGCGTAAGAAACGTTGAGCACGTGATGTAGCAGTTTGAAAAGCAGGCAACCATTGTACTTCATCGTTACGAGCATCCCACCAATTGTGGATCAATCTATAGATTTGACGATTTTTGGCTTCAATTTTGGCAATAGTTCCATTGGAAAGTAAGGGCCAGGTTGCATATATCAGTTGAAAATATGGTAAAATAAATGCATTAAAGGTTAGTTGACGTGTTCGTAATGAGGATACATGTGATCGAGTGATGTATTTTAGTACAGTTGAATTAATTTGAATTTTCTCAAGCATATTAGTACAATGTGTGTTGAATGATAATCGTTCATCAACAAAGTAGCCCAGATATTTAAAGAGAGAAGTACGTCTGATAAGTTGTTGATTAATGGTGAGAATAAGAGAAGGTAATACCACGCGTCTATGTATCCATTGCCATTCTGTTTTTTCACAATTAATTGGTTGTTTCCACGTATTGGCATAGGTTTGGAGCTCGTTCAAAGTTCGTTGACCTAAATATTGCATATGTTTCACAAACTCACCTCTAGTCCACCATGGAGAGGCTGTTATTATAGGAGCTAGATCGTCGGCATACAGATGTTGATGACTGGCTGATGGGACTTCTTGAACTAGTGTGCAGTGAAATAAAAGAAAGAGAATTGGACCGAGACAGGAACCTTGTGGAACTCCTTTCTCAATGTTGAAGATGTTGGAAGTAAGATTGTTTAGTTCAATATAACATTTACGATTCTTCAAATATTCTATGATAAAATCGATTATCTCTCGTGAACGATTCATGTTGTACAATTTATAGATTAATCCATCATGCCAAATTTGATCAAAGGCTTTCGTGAAATCTACATAAATTACAAGAGTTGCTGTGTGTTGTACTAGACCTGTAGTAATATCCTGTAGAAATTGTATAAATCTGGTGGTGGTAGAATGATGTTGTCGAAATCCGGATTGTTCCGATGGAAGAATACCGGTATTGTTTATCCACTGAAGAAGATAGACAAGAAAACATCTTTCGTATACCTTACTTAAACATGGTAAGAGTGAGATAGGTCGCGTTCTGTTGATGTTTAGAATAGTTGATTTATCTTTGGGTAATAGAATCATCTTTGATAATTTCCAATGTTGAGGATATTCATTATGGATAAGCAGCTGACTAAAAATTTGAAGAATAAAACCATAATGAGATATCGGGATTGACTTTAACAATTTGTTGGAGACTTTCTCATGTCCACTTGATGTCTTTGTTTTAAGACGACGAATTGATCGAATTAAGTCGCCAATACAAAATAAGAACGGCTTAGATGGAAGTTCGAGGAGTTTTTGTGATAATGATGCTTTAAATTCATTAACACTGTGATTTTGGTGAGGTGTTTCAATTTCTGTGAATAATGTCGAATAGTAGTTGAAAGCATGTTGAATCATAGCATTAGTTTCAGTCAATATGAAATCGTGTTCATCATTGACAAATCCTTGAATTCTAGGGATTTGTTTGTTAAAAAGAGTGCGAGTGTGTCGCCAAAATCGTTGAGTATTTTGTGGTTCGAGATTGAAACAAAATTCTTGCCATTGAGCTTTCTTAACTGCTCTTAATTCATATTGAATGTATCGATTTAGAGAAGCAAGCGAAAGACGATGGTCATTCGCGTTAGTTAATCGATAAAGATTTAGCATTTTACGTCGGTATTTAATGATATTAACGAGATATGGTGGTAGACTTGCTCGATATTTTTTAATCAGATGATAATCAGTACAGCGTTCTTGTAAGGCAACAAGAAATTTTTCATAAAGAAGAATGAACTCAGTTGGTGTAGTTTTCATATGTTGAGCTAAATTAAAGAAAAATGTTTGTTTTAAATCTAAAATGCAACTTATCAGTTTCCAGTCGATATGTTTCAATTCATATGAATTCATATTATTGAAGAAAAATGATGTGATTTGCCAGTGAACAGGATAATGACCTGTCACTTGCATAGTTTGGTCGACTTCAGAAATTTCTGATGATATTTGATGTGGGGCTATGATCAGGTCAATAGTGGCTTGAGATCGGGTTGATGTGGGTTGTGAAGCATTATATATTTTTAGATTTGGCAGTGAATTAATCCATTCACTCAGTCGAGAGCCGTTCATGTTCGTTGTCACATCATACCATTGAGGATGTCGAGCGTTCAAATCACCGACTAGAATTAAATTAGAATTACGTTCGTACAAATGATTAAGAGTGAAAGTAGGTAAATTTTCAGAAGGTCGAATATAAAGAACGACAAGAGTGTATCGTTGGCTCTTGTTGAAGATATCAATAGCAATCAAGTCCTCGATGTGGCTGACTTGAGAGATGCATTGGTGAGGTATCTGATGAGCAATGGCTAAACAAACGCCACCGAAGCTATTTGATCCATGTTGAAAATATATAGTATAGTGAGATTTGAAGAAGCTAGCTAATCGATAATTAACGTGGTTGTTAAAATGAAGACCAGTTAAGGCCCATATAGTTGGATAGTATGAACAAATATATTGAATGAGATCTTCTAAGTGAATAGATAAACTACTAATGTTATAAAGCAACAATGAGAAGGAAGATTGGTGAGATGATTTGGATGTATGACGAGTGGACCAATCTTGGATAAGTGCTGATAATGAAAGTGATGTTTGCCATTCATAGAGTATTAACTGAGCTTTCCGAGCTTGGTAATCCGAGCTTAAATAAAAAGAAAAAAAAGATTCATCATAATTTAAAGATTTTCTGATTTGGAGATTCGTCAAAGGTTCAAATTCTGTTGCATGTGGATCCATCATTGAAAATAATCATTTTGTAAACATAAGTTTTTATTGAGATTCGATTCGAGTGATAGTTGTGATAAAGAGGTTGAATATGGCTGATTACATGTAGATGTAGTCAATGAACATAAATTTGATTGAGCCTGAGCGCGAATAAGAAGTGGAGAAGAAATAGATGTATTCGACGTAACATGTGGTATTGATGATGTTTTATGAGTAGTTGAAAGAGCACGTAGAAAAGAAAGTTTTGTTTTTTGTTGGTCAGTTGCTTGAATTATGTTCTTTTCACTTAATTTATCATATACATTAACCAGCAATTCCGACCTAGAGAACAAATAAGGTACAATTTGAGTTTCAATCATTCGAAGTGAAGACAGATGTTGTTGCATAGCTAAGTCAGATTTTTGTTCAATGCGCAAGATTTTGTCTATAAGAATATCGTGTGATTTAGTAATTTCGTCTTTTAGTGTTTTAATAATGACAGATGATTGATCAGTTTGTTCGAATTTTGATGGTTCAGGTAATGCTGTAGATTGTGTATTGGAATTAACATGCAATGACATTGTTTGCAAAACAGTTGAATAAAGGCGAGCTGAAGAAGGTAGATAAGGAGTAGCTGTGGATTTAGAAATCATGCTTGTAGTCTGTTGTTGCTGTTGATTTTTGCGATAAGATATTTTAGCCGGACATTGAGGTGCTTCTGTTATGCGAGAACCTGCACAATTAGCACATTTAATAGGATTTAAACAATTTGGATTGTAAGCATGAATTTCTCCACATTTATAACATTTTGGTTCATTCATACAATTATGAATTTTATGCCCGAATTGCTGACATTTAAAACATCGATCAATTTGAGTAAGCGGTTTATAAGTTGTTGCTGTATACCGGATGCTATCTATGCAAATATAGCCGTTTTTAAGAATCAAATTAACATCATCTTGAGAATGAAAATCTATTCGAACTTTAGTAGTAGGTTGATCATCACGAAATATTCTTGTAACACGATCTGTTGATGTATAACGTTCAGCAATAAGAGGATGAATTGTATCTACATTCCATTCACGAGGAATGTGATTTACAATAACAGAATATGAAACAGGAATTCGACGAGGCAAAGTAACTATGAATGATAAATTTCAAATAAAATTTGGCCATGAACTATTCTCGAAAAGCATTTCATAAGTTGATGAATCATTTGCAAATAGTAACAGTACATTATGTGATTGAATATATTTGGAATAAAAAGCTGTACTGATATTTAATTTATGATTTTGTTTAACAAGATCATTTAACACTTGTATTTCTGATGGTTTTTGCTGATTTTCAAATTCTATTTTGAATGGTGGTAGATGTAATTGGTTATTTCTTGCATTAATATTGTTGTTCAGCGAAGAATTTGTCTGATATTGTGCTTGTGTTCTTCGTAGTCCTTGAAAGTTCTTTTTAGTAGATAATGGTTTAAGTTTTGTTTCAGCTTTTCCAAATGAAAAGTATGAATGAACTCCTTCAGTAGTCACGTCTGAATAAATGATTTGTTGTTGTTGAGTATCTGTTGTTGATGTTGTTGTAGCTTTTCGTTTTTGAATTTTGTTCCCCTTTTTATAACCTACTGTTTCCCAATCTTCATCATTTCCACTTTCATCTGATTTTTTTATTAATATGTTGGTATTTGTATTGATGTCTGAATGTTCTACTTTTTTATTTTCATTGTTGATTTCATTAATTTGTTTTCCAGTTTGAATTAAAGCTTTGGACTTCGTAGAGAGTCCATGGGTGGAGAATAATGAGACAGACTTTTTCTCTACCTTTCCCATCACCTCTATGATGAGTTAATTGAAAAGGATTATTGAACTTTTCCAATAATTTGTTTTTTCTTTGATTTAATTAATAAGATAAGAATATTTGTTAATAAAAACACGTTCAAAATTTATCGCAGAAAAAGAAGAAATGAGAACATCTTTTGTTTTTCTGCTTATTATATAGAAATAAAGACAAAACTGATTGCATTTTTTTATGATGTTAGTTTTGAATTCATCCAGCGGGTAGCCTTGAGTTTCTATTGACACTATATAAAGATTGAGACGAATTAAGGTAAAAAATGGAAGGCATTATATGGGATTGGTTGATACTAGATTACTTTAGATACAGTGCCGTCACGCTCATGCAATGCTGTGTGCAAATCATATGCCTCTTGTGTTTAAACTAAACTAGTAGTGCATATGCAATACGAGAAAATTTGTGCTACCTTATATATAGAAAACTCAATATTAAGCAGTCGAATCTGACATTCAATCCGGCTTCATAGTAGTCTTGTATTTCTTGTAAATCCTACGTTATGAAAATCATTCCTATAATGTACTAGGTGTCAAATAATATTTTGCCAGGGGGGGTACCGCTATAATTGCAAATAGAAGACATAATGAATCTTATATAGAATGAAAGCTCGTCAAAAATGGAGTTTATTGATATTAAATAGTAAGGATTATGAATACTTTTTAACATCGAACCTAAGAAACTTTCAGAAATTTTATACTTTTTTGCGGTGGAAAAGTAAAGTGCCAGTAATTGAAAAATGGATTAAAATGTTTTTCTTGGATATTTTTGCATGGTTTGATAGAACTCGTCGAGCTCTACAAAACTGTATATATTAAAATTTTTTTGAGTGTTTTTTTATGGTAAAAAATTCAAAAAACTATTTGGAAACTCTTTAAAAATGTTAAAAAAGTCATATTTTTGATAGGCTATCATTTAAGTGGTCAGTAAAATAAATGAAATGGTCAGTAAAAGCATATATAAATGATCAGTAGAAATATTGAATTGTCAGTAGTATGACGGTCAGTACTTAATTAAAAAATGGTCAGTAATTAATCATAAAATGGTCAGTTTTCTATATACAAGTATCAGTAAAAATTTCAAATTTGATCAGTAAAAGTGCAGATTTTATTAGTAGAAGAAATAGCTTTATTCATATAAAGATTAATTTATATAAGAAAAATAAATTAAAATAAATAGAAAAAAACCAATGAGTAAATAAGAAGAAATCCAAAAGGTCATTATATGGAAATTCCAAGAATGAAAGCAAAAAAGAAAATGAAAATTCAATTATTATACTAGCAATATAGGTTTAGCCTTCACTAGTCTACCTCTGCTTTCTTTTCTCACTGATCGAGACGTTTTTTTTTGCTAGTGGTTTACAATATTTCAAATGAACAGACACATCTACAATGTGTTTGCATATGCAGTTCTTCAAAAAAACCTAAACAGTTGCATTTGATGTTTTCCAAGCTGAGCCATGTTTCATTTCCAAACACCAAATATTAAATGATTTTTGAATTGCATCAAAGTTGTCAATTTTTTTATTTATATATTTATTTAAATCGACTTATGTAATCGATTGTAAATGACTAGCTCGAATACAATATTATTCTGAAGCATCATTTGGAAGGCCAACTAAGTTTTTTGTTGATTTAGCCCATTGATAGGATAAAGTCTACAATTCTGAAGATCTTGTTGATTCTGTAACAAATATTTTGCATTAATTGAAGAAGAGCTTCGTCCAGTTCACCAACTATCGACAATATTTGAACCTATTGTCAAAAATCTCCATAAAACATGACATTCTCTAATTATTTCATCATTTTTGTTTCTTTTATTAATTGCCTCTAAGGCGCTGTTTGCATGGGTGAGGTGATAGTATAACACGTTTCGATGTTTATACTTACCATTTAAATTAATTTACTGACCTTTAAATATATTAACGAACCAGTTATTTTAATAACTGACCATTTAAATAATTTACTGATCATTCATTTTTTACTGACCATTCATTTATTCTACTGATCATTCATTTTTTACTGACCATTCATTTATTCTACTGATCATTTCATTTATTTTACTGACCATAGATTATATTCCCTTTTTGATATGGAAGAAAAACACTCGAATTTTCAAAAAAATTTGCTTTTTTTTGATTATTTTTACTTCCTCAGGTGTTTCGAAATATGTTCATTCGATTTAGTTTTTCACCCTGCATCGAATGAGTATATTTTCAAACATTTTACATAAGGATACTAATGAAAAACAGCTGAATTTAGTGTAAAAAAGACCACACTTTTTCCCCATAAAAAGTGTAAAAAATGCGAGTTTTTTGGTACACTCTTTAGACAGTTTTCAGTGAATTTTAACCCAACAACTCTGATTAAAAGCTTTTTCATATATACAGTTTTGTAGAGCTCGACGAGCTCTATCAAACCATGCAACAATATCCAAGAAAAACATTTTAATCCATTTTTCAATTACTGGCACTTTACTTTTCCACCGCAAAAAAGTATAAAATTTCTGAAAGTTTCTTAAGTTCGAGGTTAAAAAGTATTCATAATCCTTACTATTTAATATCAATAAACTCCATTTTTGACGAACTTTCATTCTATATAAGATTCATTCCCTAGTGAAGGTACTCATAGGCGAGTACTCAAAAAGTACTCACGCTAGAAAATGTCACGAGTACTCATGAGTACTCACGCATTTTGAGTACTCATCAGTAGTACTCCTGCTAGAATCTGAGTATCTGAGTACGACAATCGAGTACTCGCTGTGTAATATTGAGTGTTTTGTGAGTACTACTATCTAGTATCTGTGTGCTCTGCTGACCTATGTAAGATACTTATAAGCATATTTTTGGTTAGTACCGTTGTACTACGTTAATTTTTATTTAATATTAAAATACTATCAACAAACAGAGGACATAATGAAAGGTTGAGAAAAATGATCAACATGAGAAAGACAAATTTGATATCAGTTTCATATATTTTAACGTAAAGATTACAGGCATAGAAATCTTTATTAGGAGCGAAGAAATTTAAATATTTTCTGTATTTACATACCATAAAAATACAATTTTATTTATTCTTTTCATTTTTCTTTCGAAAAAATAAATAAAAACGTACTTTCATTATATAAAATAAAGAAAAAAGAAATATTTAATTATCTTCTCTAACAATAAAAGTTTCTTTGTCTATATCCTAGAGAATGAGAGTACAATAAGACATAAATTGAGGACAGTAAAATACACTGAAGCAGAAAAATAATAAATTAATCAACGACGATGAGAAACGTGACAATAAATGAACGTACAGTATTGCTTATTACACTAGAAAACTAAACAGACATTTTTAAATCCATCGCTATTTACAATCATCAGGAAATTTACAAAAAAATAAATACAAAATAAAATTATTTGTCTATAGTTTGTTAACACATCTTCTTATTTTAAAATCGCGATCGATTTGTAACACAATTTGCGAACTGCCTTGTGTTCCATGATATTCTACAATCAATCTAAAAAAATTGCATTTTAATGAAAGAATTTTGGCCTAAACTTAGGAAATAAAATAAAAACGAATCTACATTAATATATTTAGAAAAAACTTAATCTTTCCGAAGAATTGAACAAATGAAAATGAAAAATCATTATTCTTTTCTATCTTAAAGTCACCATTTGTTTTATCCGTACAAATGATTCATCCAAAAAAAATAGAGTATAAAATAAATAATTTATTCAATTGATTTTCTCTATTTTTCATTTTATTACAGTAGTTTTTTTTATTATATAGCTCCAATTTATTTTTGTATATGCTAATGCATAAGTGTTTTGCTAAATATTCTGCGAAACAACTAGCATGAGTACGACTTTGAGTACTCATCTGTCTGCCTATGAGTAAATTTTTAAAAATACACTCGTACGAGTACTCATTAGAGTACATGGAGAGTAAAAATACACATAAAATTCCTCGAGTACTCGCGTGAGTAATATGAGTACTCACGCTGGAAAGTCGTACTCGCTTGATGAGTATTTTCACTAGGGTTATGTCTTCTATTTGCAATTATAGCGGTACCCCCTGGCAAAATATTATTTGACACTTAGTACTATTTTTTTTAGAGGTACATATATTTCCACACTTTCCGAAAAGCGAATGTTTTTTTTCAAATTGAGATTCATATCTTAGAAAAAATGACACTGTGCGTTGATGTAAACTCTTATTACTAGAGTTTATAACACAAAATATAAATAGCAATGACGGTAGATATGTATATTGATCGTTTTTCATTTCCATCAACATGATAGATAAATGATGGTGTGATTGATGTTTTTATTTTCCAAAACTTTTTACAGAAAACATATGATCTTTTCTTGTGAAACACAATTTAACTGAAATATCAAAGTATATCAGTAGAAATTTAACTGTTCTTTCAAAGGGAATAAACAACAAAACAAATTTTCAATGTTTTGATCAAGCGTTTTTTGTGAAACTTTTTTTAGCAGAAAGTGTTCGTTGTTTCATGGCGTTCGATATTCCAGCAGATGAATAAAGACAACTAGTTAATGTTGTTCCTTTTTTATAAGATAACTTGAGAATGTGTGAAAACAATGCCTCACATTTGTTTTAAATTGTGACAAAAATGCTATTATGGTCCCTTTCTTCTCATGAATAATGACAGACGTATCCTCGCGGAATTGATGTATTACAGGATTGGAATGAAGTACAACTGACTTTAAGATGGGTGTCCTTTGATCTTCTATCCAACTCACTGTAATATATTACAAGGAATATATTTCATCATCGGTGAAGATCACTGGTAGATGAGAACTCATAAACCGAAACGTATCGATAAATTTTGTCTTTTACAATGACAGCAGCTTCATCACCTTTCATAATTAAAGTTCACTGATATTCGTCTTGTAACTTTTTATACTTACATGTATTTTTTTAAAATTTACTTTGACTTGTGTCAAACACTGCAATAGTAATGAAGCGGCATATACATTATATATTGCAAATAAAATACGTTTTTTTTCTAGATCGGTGCTTGGTTTTGTTTTCTTTTCTTTATAATAATATAAAAATGTATATGTGAAACATCCAGAAAAAAAATCAATTCTAGTTCGGTAGATGGTATGCAAAAGAAGTGATTTCGATAAGCAGTGTCGTTTCAGAGTGCATCGGATTTCTAAAGAACACTTTTTAGCCAAAATCAGTATCCTATATATTCTCATGGAGAGACGCTATAAAGCTTACATTTAATCAAACATGAAAGTCTCAATTATCTCTAGTAAGTGTACAAGTGACATATCGTTTTAATGAACAGAATGAAAAATAGAATATCAACTAA